TGTAGGAGGCGGGGCACTGGGTGCAGGATATTTGGTAAATTACACCCTGGGCCCTTTCCTTGGGTGGACGACTTTTTGGCCGAGGTAGAAAACGCCCGAGTGTGGTCACAGGTTTATGGGCCACGGTGACGTGTTCTCTTGCAAAAATCCTGGATAGTGTTTCACTTATCCCTTTTGTGTAGGGTATGCTGATGCGTGCAATCGGTTTAGGACGTGCAGTCCCAGTAGGTTGCCCGTCTCGGCGACTGCGGTTTAGACGGTGAGTGATCTGGCGAATGAAGTTACCTGTGTATCCATTATTTTTTAGATCACGGGTGATCGCTTGCTCCTCTTTCCTTTTGTCTGTTGCAGATGAACATATATTCTTTGCCCTCATCAGAAGTGTCGAAACTACTGACGCTTTGTGACCCAAGATTCATAAACCTGACGTTCCCCTGAGACCTATCGTAGATTTTACAACATCACCACTCAGAGCATTATGCGACTATCTCCACCGAGTTCTATCTCCTCTCACTGGAAATACTACTACATACATACGAAACTCGTGTGAGTTCGTGGAACGCATATCACAGATAAAGGTCAGCCATGACGAGTGCCTGGTGTCATTCGACGTCATTTCCCTTTTTACGAATGTTCCCGTTCCCTTGGCCATCGCTGCAACCAGGGAAGCTCTCGAGAAAGACGAGGACCTGGACACCCGGACATGCCTCAGCAGGGATGAGCTATGTCGCCTACTTGAGTTTTGTCTCTCGAACACCTACTTCACCTTCAAGGGGGAGTTCTACCAACAGACCAGCGGAACGGCAATGGGCGCTTCCATCTCAGTCACAATGGCCAACCTGGCAATGGAAGCGATTGAGCACAAGGCGCTACAATCATTCAACCCCAAGCCCCAAATATTCCTGCGGTACGTCGACGACTGCTTCTGTATCATGCAAGCGTCAGAAGTGGACAACTTCCTGGCTCACTTGAACTCCATTGAACCAGCCATCCAATTCACGGTGGAGCACGAAATGCACGGCTGTTTACCTTTCCTTGACGTGCTAATCAAAAGACAGGGTGAGGCACTGAATTTTACAGTGTATAGGAAGCCTACGCACACGGGACGATACCTCCAATTTGATTCAAACCACCCGCTAAGTCACAAAGCGTCAGTAGTTTCGACACTTCTGATGAGGGCAAAGAATATATGTTCATCTGCAACAGACAAAAGGAAAGAGGAGCAAGCGATCACCCGTGATCTAAAAAATAATGGATACACAGGTAACTTCATTCGCCAGATCACTCACCGTCTAAACCGCAGTCGCCGAGACGGGCAACCTACTGGGACTGCACGTCCTAAACCGATTGCACGCATCAGCATACCCTACACAAAAGGGATAAGTGAAACACTATCCAGGATTTTTGCAAGAGAACACGTCACCGTGGCCCATAAACCTGTGACCACACTCGGGCGTTTTCTACCTCGGCCAAAAAGTCGTCCACCCAAGGAAAGGGCCCAGGGTGTAATTTACCAAATATCCTGCACCCAGTGCCCCGCCTCCTACATTGGAGAAACTAAAAACTTACAAGAACGGCTCCGTCAACACAAAAATGACGTACGCAACTTCGACCGCGAACGCAGTGCTCTGGCGGAGCACTGTGAAGTTAATGACCACCGTATCGGATTTGAAGATGCAAGCATTCTGGGTACTGAGACGAACCTACGCAGAAGACAGCTGATAGAATCCTGGCATATTCAAAACACCGCAAATAACATCAATAGGTCTCTAGGCACCTTACCCAGTTTATATGTTCATGGGTTACGAGATACAATCAAGACGGCGCAGGCGAAACGAAGACAACCAGCAATCGACAATGAAGAAGAAGAGATAGCCAGTTCAAAGAAAGACAAAGAAGCTATTATCCCGTTTAGTCGCCCCTGAGGAAGAAACGAACTGTTTCGAAACGTTGGGACAATTTTTCGACTTTTTGGTTGGCGTATTTCTTTATTCTTTACATTTAAATTCACCCAACCAGGCAGATATCTGCCGAACATGTTTACCTTCAAGTCTTTGCTCCAAGACTTTGGGCGGGAGACAGCACAACTGGCGAAGCGGTATGTCAACATAAACCGCAGCATCTCTTCATTCGAAACGCACCTGGAATTTACCAAGGCGTGCCGCGACAGGCAAGTGGTCCCTCAAAGTCTACGCCTCAAACGCCATGTTAACACACAGGAAGGCCACAAGATTGTGATGCGTGCAGAGCACCTGCTGGTAAAGGCGCGACTTCATGAATGCTACTCCACCTTGAAGAAAAAGCAGTTGGACTTGTTCTTTATACGTCGACAGCTAGAAAACCGTATTCCAGACATTTTCCCATCATTGCAGCTGTTCGCAGAAAACTGCGCTCAGACGGTCTTACAAAAACACCGGAGGTCGCAAGTAAAGAAACTTTTGACGCTGAACAAAAGAAACGAGGCAAGACAGAAGATCGTCAATTCCGCACTTGTCACCAACCTATCTTCCAGGTCACTCTCCCCACATGAAGTTGAGGTTCTTGCAAGAGGGCACAACTACAACTTGACCACTGCACGGCTACCTCTACCCCGGATGGTCGCGGCCATAGAGGAGGGCGTCATGCACCTGGACCCTGACGTACGAGAAGGCGTCCGTATGAAAGCCATTGGCGTCCTGTCGAAGTCTACACGATATCGACCTCATAACCTTTCGAAAGAAGAATGTACAGCACTCCGAAGGCTCAGGGATGACAAAAACATTGTAATTTTGCCAGCAGACAAGGGTAACTCAACCGTCGTCCTTGACCGGGATACCTATGAAGATAAAGCCAACCAGCTTCTTGACTGCTCGGCTTACAAGAAACTCAAACGGGACCCAACATCAGCAATACAGAGAAACTTGAACAGGACCCTGGCGCTCATTTTCAAAGAACACCCGGAATCGAAGAACCTTTACCTGCGCCTCATCTGCAGAAATGGATTCGCACCGGGATTCTACGGACTCCCCAAGATTCATAAACCTGACGTTCCCCTGAGACCTATCGTAGATTTTACAACATCACCACTCAGAGCATTATGCGACTATCTCCACCGAGTTCTATCTCCTCTCACTGGAAATACTACTACATACATACGAAACTCGTGTGAGTTCGTGGAACGCATATCACAGATAAAGGTCAGCCATGACGAGTGCCTGGTGTCATTCGACGTCATTTCCCTTTTTACGAATGTTCCCGTTCCCTTGGCCATCGCTGCAACCAGGGAAGCTCTCGAGAAAGACGAGGACCTGGACACCCGGACATGCCTCAGCAGGGATGAGCTATGTCGCCTACTTGAGTTTTGTCTCTCGAACACCTACTTCACCTTCAAGGGGGAGTTCTACCAACAGACCAGCGGAACGGCAATGGGCGCTTCCATCTCAGTCACAATGGCCAACCTGGCAATGGAAGCGATTGAGCACAAGGCGCTACAATCATTCAACCCCAAGCCCCAAATATTCCTGCGGTACGTCGACGACTGCTTCTGTATCATGCAAGCGTCAGAAGTGGACAACTTCCTGGCTCACTTGAACTCCATTGAACCAGCCATCCAATTCACGGTGGAGCACGAAATGCACGGCTGTTTACCTTTCCTTGACGTGCTAATCAAAAGACAGGGTGAGGCACTGAATTTTACAGTGTATAGGAAGCCTACGCACACGGGACGATACCTCCAATTTGATTCAAACCACCCGCTAAGTCACAAAGCGTCAGTAGTTTCGACACTTCTGATGAGGGCAAAGAATATATGTTCATCTGCAACAGACAAAAGGAAAGAGGAGCAAGCGATCACCCGTGATCTAAAAAATAATGGATACACAGGTAACTTCATTCGCCAGATCACTCACCGTCTAAACCGCAGTCGCCGAGACGGGCAACCTACTGGGACTGCACGTCCTAAACCGATTGCACGCATCAGCATACCCTACACAAAAGGGATAAGTGAAACACTATCCAGGATTTTTGCAAGAGAACACGTCACCGTGGCCCATAAACCTGTGACCACACTCGGGCGTTTTCTACCTCGGCCAAAAAGTCGTCCACCCAAGGAAAGGGCCCAGGGTGTAATTTACCAAATATCCTGCACCCAGTGCCCCGCCTCCTACATTGGAGAAACTAAAAACTTACAAGAACGGCTCCGTCAACACAAAAATGACGTACGCAACTTCGACCGCGAACGCAGTGCTCTGGCGGAGCACTGTGAAGTTAATGACCACCGTATCGGATTTGAAGATGCAAGCATTCTGGGTACTGAGACGAACCTACGCAGAAGACAGCTGATAGAATCCTGGCATATTCAAAACACCGCAAATAACATCAATAGGTCTCTAGGCACCTTACCCAGTTTATATGTTCATGGGTTACGAGATACAATCAAGACGGCGCAGGCGAAACGAAGACAACCAGCAATCGACAATGAAGAAGAAGAGATAGCCAGTTCAAAGAAAGACAAAGAAGCTATTATCCCGTTTAGTCGCCCCTGAGGAAGAAACGAACTGTTTCGAAACGTTGGGACAATTTTTCGACTTTTTGGTTGGCGTATTTCTTTATTCTTTACATTTAAATTCACCCAACCAGGCAGATATCTGCCGAACATGTTTACCTTCGAATCGATTCTTAAATAGGATCACTGCCGACGCCGTTGAGGTATTGAACTATAATGAATACATTTTTGAAGGCCATACTTCATATCAAAATCATAATAAATTGAAGCTTCCCTGGCAAAGAGGAGCTCGTTTTTTATTGCTAAATAATTATTAAAACTCAGTTGTGCTTGTAAACGAGAGCGTTCACAAACAATTTTTTTTAAAGCTCTATTATGTGGTCGTAATTCTTGGGGCCTGTATTCCTCAAACCTACAGAGTCTTGATTTTTGTTCTTGGGACAATAAAATAAAACAAGGCACAGAAAGTATGGCTTTTAATGGTTTATTTAACACGTAAATTGTGTTTTCGCTTTAATTACACTGAAACACATTCTTCAGCTTTACAGACCTAGAGAGGATAAAATAATGCATATATGAGCACAGTTTACAGTTCGCAGCAAAGAATGCCAGCAAAATTTTCAATTTATTTGAGATCGTATATATTTCTAAATGGCAGAAGTAAAGCTGCTCTCACCTTTTCCTGTTGAGATTGTTTATCACTGCAAAGTGTTCCATCGGGTGCCGTGGCATTAGCCACCCAATAAGTTCCTTTTTCATCAGGAGGAGTAGCACAAGCAAGAATGCAATGTTGCAGCAAGTTATCCTGCAAGGTTTTTCCATTGCACCTTTATACTGAGGTATAGCTGTCAGACTTCAAATATTTCTAGATTTCGGGACTACATTGGAGCACATTATAATGAATGACTCGAGTTTCCCATGACTATCAATGGTTAAAGGAGCTGTGCAGCGGTTTCAGTGTTTCGCTTAAATAATTTGGGGGTTCGTGTCTCGATTTCTCTGAAGTAAAGAACTAAAAACCGCTTTTGCCTGCATGTCGTAGTTTTTGTTTAAAAATGGACAAAGATCGAGGTTTCTGCCACCTCTCAACTCGTGCACCGCCTTCCGCGTCACGTGCGCTGTGACGTCGATGTGGTAGGCGCGGGGCTCCGGTGAAGCTCTCTCTCCAGACTCCAGTGAGCAGCGAGCACTCATCCGCTCGCGACCGCGTGACCACGTGTTGGCGGGCGCAGCGCGAACAATATGCTGAAAGGAGGAAAGTCTCATCCGGGTCCGGCCATACCCGTCCGGCCCTGTCCCCCTCCCCCTCCGGCTTCTGGTGCTGTTCGCGATAGCATATAGAGCTGACGGTTTTGTGGCCCTAGGATAGATGGCGCCACTAAAACTCCGTATAATAAAAGTTTTGTCGATGATACCAGGTTTTTGACGCATTTATATTTATGTTGGAACGACAAGATTTATAAAAAAAAGTTACCTTTTATCTAGCAATTATTCGCACAACTTGCTATCTTTCTACAAGACCCCATTGACGTCATTCTGAGTGTTTCCCATGGCCGCGGCTCACGGCTGCAGGTCGGGGAATATTCTAATTTTTGGCTCGCAATTACGCGGCTGAATCGCAACATTTGGAAGGAAGGAGGTGTGTTTCCTGTCTTTTGTGACGAGGTGAACAATGTCAAAAGTAGAAGATGCCAATTCTTTCAACGTTAAAATCGTTGCACAGCTCCTTTAAGTTTGTTCGAACATACCAGACGAAAGCACGTGGTGCAAAATCATACACTGCAGAACCCATAGATCCTGTGTTTGATCCCCAGTCGGGTCGAGCTTGTTAATGACGTTTAGTGAACCGGTCTTCGGGTAGGACAGTCGCTATTTGTGATTCACGTCAACAACTCCAGATGAGAAACCAGTGTCCCCGTACTGGCGTAATATCCCCTCTGAAGGGAACAGATAAAGTTTGAATTCCATAGAGCGAATGCTCTTCATGGAGTTCACTTAGCGCGCGGCACAGCAGCCATCGTCTTAAATCAACGCGCAGAACGAAAGCCACCGGACGAAGTTTATTGAGATTTTCGCTTCATGAACTCCAGCCGTAAGACGCCTCACTTTGATGACAAAATAGGTGCACTTTCCCTAAATACTTACCAATACACTTTAGCTTTGGAATATCTTGTTCGGTGTATATTTCATATCTCACTTTTTTTTTCGAAATTCAGTGAGCAAGCTCAATCGTAGTGCTTTATTACTTCAAAGGTTATTCATTTCTCGGTTGACCTCTTCAACACAAATAAAACATGGGGGCAATCCAGGTGCATATGGCAATTTGAATAATTTTTATCATATAAAAATTATCCATTAACCTACCCAATAAATATTAGTGCTTTAGTTATGAAATTTTATATTACCAGTTAGTCGGCAAAATTTGGACGAACCAAAACAAAACTAAAAACTACACGCGTTAGCCACGCAGACGTAAATCGCTGTACCTGTATGAAAGGCAAACGTTAGTTTAAAATTTAACCTAAACTAAACTGAAAGGGCGGTATTCGTTACTCCAGACAAGTGCACCTGATTACACGTGGGACAGCCACTTCAACGCCGTGCGAATGTTCGTTTAGCGCCCCAGAAACTTTTGTGAACAATCAAAGGAGTTCACTCTCGCCGGAGAATATTAGGGAACCCCTTTGCCTCATGCAGCTGTTTTGAACTCTGCAATTATAGGTTGATTCATGATCGAAATTGTATACTGCGCAATCTCTCGCATATTCAGCAGAGGCAAGAAAAAAGTAAATTACACTTTCTACTTCTTGTTCTTGTCCGTGTCTTTGCGCTGTTTTAATCTTTAATCATGAAATACCAACTAGCCCAAACTTCTACTTTGATTTTTCAAAGAAAATATTAGAAAAACGTAAGTAACACTAAAATTTAGTTGTTACGTAAACAAACCAGATGTAGCACTCATTAAACAGACCAAATTACTTGTAATTGATTACTTTTGGCGTAATTTTGTAACCATTTGTTACATTTATTAAAAAGTAATCGCAAGAGTTTTTGATTGATTTTGAATGTACTAAGATTACTTGAAACCGTTACTATGTTTTTCTTCCCTTCAAGTCTTCTACATTGAACTTCTCAAACCCAAATCTCCCGACAAGAGGATGGTTTTCCTCTATTGGTGGATTAAGCAGATAGGTTATTTATAATTCGGTGATTATATTTAATCCAATAATAGACAGTAAAAAAAAAGAAAAAAAAGAAAAAAATGAAAGCCTTTTACAACTCCCGGTAACGCGGAATTAGAGCGCAGCTCTTGAGGAGGAGGAGGGAAGGGTACTGTGGGGGTGGGTCAAGTGACCTCGGGGGGCGGGGGGTCACGTGACCTTGGGGGTCACGTGACCTTGGGGGTCACGTGACCTTGTGGGAGTCACGTGACCTGGGGCCACGTGACGATGCCGATGACGTCATCAGTGACGTCACTGATGACGCCATCAGTGATGATGATGATGACGATGCGGATGCCGGTGACGTCATCAGTGACGTCACTGATGACGTCATCAGTGACGTCATCAGTATCCCCAGGTCGCGTGACCCCCCCCCCCCGGGGTCACGCGACCTGGGTAACCATCGTGACCCTCGTGAGGGTAACCCTAGTAACCCTTGTGAGGGCAACTCTCGTGACCCTCGTGAGGGTAACTCTCGTGACCCTCGTGAGGGTAACTCTCGTGACCCTCGTGAGGGTAACTCTCGTGACCCTCGTGAGGGTAACTCTCATAACCCTCGTGAAGGTAACCCTTTTGAGGGTAACTAACCCTCGTAACCCTCTTGAGGGTTACGAGGGTAAGTAACCCTCGTGAAGGTAACCCTTTTGAGGGTAAGTAACCCTTGTGGCCCTCGTGATCCTCGTGAGGGTAACCCTCATGAGATTAACCCTCGTAACCCTCGTAACCCTCACGAGGGTTACGAGGGTTGCGGTTACGCCGACGGCGACACCTACGCCGACGCCGCTCAAGCCGGGAACGGGCCCCTAAGAGCTGCGCTCTAAAAAACGCATTCAAGCCAGTGGAAATTTGACTTTTTCAAAATCTGAAGTGATCGAGAAATAATGGTTACTTTTTGAATAACAATAAAATACTTTTTTCCCAAGTCCTCACGTAATTTAAGTGAATATTTTTAACAAACAGTAATTGCAATTGTAATCGATTTCTTTTTTCGAGTAACGTATAGAAGGCTAAAATAAATCTACTTTCATCAACTGTGAATGACTCTTTTCGCTCAAAGTATAACTTCAGTTCGAGTCTTTTTTTTTAACTAAACCCAGTGACCGGTAGATAGATGCCGTCGTCCCTGAACGTGTGTCGGGCTTGGCGGACGTTTGATAGGAGAAAACTGGAACAAACAATAGGCTAAAATTGGTATTTGTGAATCAACTTTTTAGTTTTTCGCTTCATGGTTCCAGTTGTTATTGCGATACTGACAGCAATTATATAGTTCATAGGATAAACAAATTTTGCTATTTCGTTGCCGAAACGCAGTAGGGTTTCACATATGCATCGCGTGGCTTGAGTTGCCGTGATGTCCAGTTGAGGCGTATGCTCCTTGAGGCGTCGGTTCAACTCAAACACTATCCGGTAAGCGTGGGGCGGCACCTCGGCACAGGCGTTAGTTGGGCCAGTGAGCTCGGCACCAAGGTCTCGGCGGGTGTGCCCCACGAAGCAGAGCGCGAGGTATTTTGCCGGGTCGTTCGCTTCATGCAGGATTGACATCGTCCATCCTCCTCGCTCTCGCGTGAGGGAGAGCAGAGGAAGAGTGACGAGCTCCGTCTTCTCTGTCCAGAAAAATCTTAACAGAGAGCTCCGCACCTGACGGAAAAGGTTTCTCAGTGGTAACACCCCCTGTGCGAGGTACCACGGACGCCCGCAGAACAGTGAGCAGGTCAGATACCTGCGCTCGGTCATGGGGACGGCGTAGCCTCCAGCCCGGTTCACGCTTATCACGATGTCGCTCGCCAGGCTGGTCTCCAAATGTTGGGCGAGATTCCCACCGCGCTGTACGTCACGCCGGGTGTCTTCACTACGGCCACCGCCGGGAGTGAAGAGGCTGGCTCGGGTAGGCGGTTGACCCACAACGTACTTCTCTTTTGCTCGTTCAGGCGCGTACCGCAGAGCGACCCGTAGGACATGAAGACCTGCTGATGGGAGCGGCAACACGTCAGCCGCATCCAGCACACGTCGAACATAGCGGAAATGTGCAACAACCGCTGGGTAGTGTCGACAAGGAGTCTCTGCTTGTATGACTTCGTTGAAGTTGGTGCATTTGAGAGTGTGACGATCAAGTGCTCCGAGCCAGTAGAGTGCAAGAACCCCTGCGGGCTGTCCGAGGTAAGTAAGTTTATTTCCCATCAACACTAATGGCGGAGGTCGAGAAAAAAAGCTGTAAAGTACAGCTTGACAAGGTCTTCGACCTCGTACATAGGCGAAATAGCAGAGGCACAGGAGAAAAAACCAACACATACAAAAAAGATTTTCCATACCAAAACAGGGTTCAAGGTAAAACAAGAGGACACTATACAAGCGCAAAATACGTACTAAGCAAACAAAGAATAAAAAGATAAATATATTAAAAAAATAATAAAAAAATTATTACATGAAAGATGAAATCATTGCTAATTTACCTGTCTAAGCCCATAAAATATTCTCTAAGTTCTTTTGGTGATATTCTATTCAATTCTAGTTCACTCTCTTCTAACTGGTTCAGCAATTTAGGCAACGTATATCGAACCATCTGGGAGCCGTAATTTGTTCTCCG